AGGAAATGCTGCCGTCCGGCGCCATGAGTTGGCTCCGCCCCACGTTTTTATTTTAAATATTTATCGGGACGGCCATTTTTTTTTTCTTTGCTAAGATGTCAGCGGCATTCTGATACAAGTTATTGCGTCTTATTTTCTGCGAGAGCCCTTGGAGCATTGTGTAAAGAAGAGGGAATATATTACAGTGAGCACTGAATCCTTGTTACTTCGGAGATCTCTTATCTTTTACAATGTTGCTTTTTAAATCTTATTGCAATCTTTTCATGGTTTATATCCCATTAGGGAGATTTCCCATTATATGGTGTCCTGGAAAGGTTAAGAGCGGAAATGCCCTATTGGGCAGTTGTCACCGGAAAAGGTGGCCCAGTTGGAGGATTTTCCTTCACCCCCTTGTCCTAGTGAGAGCTTTAAAACAGAACTCTGGGGACATTTTTTTATTAACCCTTGCAGTGCCCCTCCTTCCCCTACCCCTATTCCCTCCCACCTGGGCTAAAAGGGTTAAGTGCTCGTTTATGATCTAGGGGGAAATAAAAAAGTTTCCTCCCTAGACTAAAACTTGCACTTAAAGGAGAATTATGAGGCGAGTGATTTTCACTCAGCCTCATAATCTGAGCCGACCTGTGACAATGACAGGTCGGCTCAGTAGATCGGGAAGTGAGTGAAGACATACCGTCGCTCGCTCACTTCTCCATCATGTCCCTGCAGAGAGAGGCGACTATCACTCACGGCTCCCTGCAGGGATTCCCCCCCCTCCTCTGTCCGATCCTCCAGCGCTGACTGGAGGAACGGATGGGGGAGGGGGCGGGTACAGCTGGCTCTGCCTCTAGATAGGCAGAGCCAGCTGTCAATCACGCAGCTCGGTGGATCCAGACAGTAATGTCGGGATCCGTCCCGGCAGTGGCGGTCTCAGTATACCGCGAGCTGTGGCTCGACATATACTGAGCTTTGGGTGACGGGAGGATGCTAGTTTTATGTCCTCCTGTGACCCTTAGGAGAACAATGGGGAAAAGCCTTGACCTCATAGTTCTCCTTTTAATCCTTGCAGTGTGGGGGTAGCCCCACTGTAAGGGTTAATAAAAAAAATTCTTCTTAAAAATTCTGGATTTCCCAATGTTATTGATGTTTCACCTATTTATAAAAGGGGAGACAGAAATATATTCTGAGTTCTTATCCCTTCTTTAAAAAAAAAAAAGTTTAGCTTTACATATACTTTTACACTCTCCGAAACAAACCTGTTAAAAATGTTCGGCGCTGGCGTTCAAATGTCATTAACTGCGATTAATAAAAGTAACATTCCAAAAGGCAGCCAGGAAACAAAACAACAAAAAGTCACAGCAACCAAGGTGGAAAAAAAAGAGTTGTAACAAGAATTTTAAGCAAGTTTGAATACAAATTTGGGTAGTTTATTGTTACTGTTATGAGATAATTGATAGATCTTAACAACTTTGTATAGATAGATAGATAGATAGATATGAGATAGATATGAGATAGATATGAGAGAGATAGAGAGATAGATATATAGATAGATATGCGAAAAAAAATATAATTGAAATTTTAATGCAATTCACATAATAAATGGCAAAATCATAAACTCCACTCAGGTCGCTTTTATGTAAAGTTCCAATGATCCCTACCAGTCAGATTGACCCCTCCCTTTCCCGGGAGGGGGGACTGCAGCCTCTTGCCATTCATTCTGTATTGTGCAGCCACCATTGGCACTATGGTTTTTGCTTCCTGTAGACTTTAGTGGAGGTGGAGCAGATGCACGTTCAGGAATGTGATGCTTTCAGGAAGCCATTTTAGGGGCGGGGCCCTCCTTACCATCTTGTCTTTAACTGTATTGTGATTGTAATGTCTTCCTTATATTGTAAAGCGCCG